AGGTCCGAAATCCACTGGGTGTTTGGTGTGACCTTTCTTCGTTTGTTACTTTTTGTTTTGGGTCGATTAAACCTCCTGTGGACTTTGAGTGCTTGTAGTGGCATTATTTCTATTTTTTGTTTTTGGTTATGATAATACAGTTGTTCTCGATTACTCAAGCAGTTCCACACTGCCAAGCCCTCCATATCCCTGCACAACTGCTTCGGTCAATCCCAGCCTCTAAAAATAACACTTCTAGTGCCACAAGTAGTGTGCCCACTGTTACTCTGCTTGGAGGGGGCCCCTTAATATAAAAAGGACATTTGCATCCAATAAAAATGGAACTGGGAACTGGAATGATTCATGATAATGGGAGCTGGACACTTATTGGCAAACTTTTTATGGGAGGGTTAACACATTAAATTTGGGATTTGGGAGCCTATGTAGAGAAAAGGATAAGGAACTTAAAAGTTCTGACTGCTCCTTTATATAAATGGAGGATCCCTGTTGTAATTAGGGGTACAAGGGACTTCTGCTATGAAATGAAATGCTCAGTTGCTACACAGTGGGTAAATGCATATGAGGGAGTGTAGGGACATCTTCAGGTTGCTGAGAGGTCCACAACTCACCACATTTATATTAAAATCTTCCTATTAAATAGTAAGGGGACAAAATAGTCCAGCTCTGCATGTTCAATGTTCACGAGTCACTCAACATGTGTGATATTGCCAATAAATTAATGGGTATTCAACTGTTGATAATTAGCCACATCTCTGATGGTTGCACTGAATTTTTTCCCTAATTTCCAAAACACTAATTAGTCCAAATCAAATCTTTAATTCAGAATCAATTGGTAAATATTCACCTGGATTGACATTCGTAGATATCAAAACTGTATTCATCATTCAATTCCCTGCAAACTCGTCAGGCGGCTGGTACAATAAGGTGTGGGTGCAGCTGAAAAGATGAAACTAAATTGCTCAATCCACATGGTGACTATTTCCCCCAAAACATGAAAAACATCCCGCAGAGCAGTGTAAGGAGTAAATGAAGCAATTGTCACAAAACAAGTTACACATAAACCAGACATAAAAGAGATGGCAGGACCCTGTTCAGACTAGTTTGTTGCACGAGCCAAGCCCAAATCAGACAAAGAATAGGAGTCAGGGGCCCACAAGATGAAATCATGGGACGTGGAGGGGAATTCTGAGAAACCCTCAGACTGACACGAACCGATGTGTAAGATCAGCACGGATATAAATGGAGTAGACAACAAGCTCTGTAGATGGTGAAAAAACAAAAAGGTACAATGGCAGAAGGGCGAATCGGCAGCCGGTTATTGCCATCTTCAGTGTACTCTCCTAAAAAAAACACCTTGGTTGACAGTAGAAAAGAGCTGAGTAAAAGGATAATGTACTGAACTACATAATGTATAACAAAGTTGAATTGCACGACATGTACTACAGGCTTTTGCACAAGCCGGTATGCTATAACGTTTGTCTTACTGTTTATGCCGAATTTACACAATTGAAAAATAAAGAATTTTAAATAAATAAATGGAGTAGACAAAATACAAGGGCCTCTGAGCAAATGGAAATGTAATCTACAGGCGCTCATTAAAGTACCATTTTTAATGCGCCCTTCAGTTACTCAATGTTCAAGTTCAACAATCTCATTCATGGGAGAAACAACAACAACCAAAGCATTTAAAGGGGCTTATTTACTAAGCCACAAGCGGGCACTCCTATGTTTTTCAGTAACAGATTTCAGCTGCTTCAGGGTAAACTGAATCAGCCTTAAAAAATTTAAATCCGTCTGGCGTTTCACTGTGACTTGCACATAAAAACGTCTTGTTAGAACGATTCAGATAGTAAATCACATAAAAGTCAATTGGAGGGATTTACCATGCAGACATTAAAATGTGTCCCCGGGAACTAGGTAGCATGATTTTCTTAACCCTACCTTTATTACATAAAACTAAGGAACAACTGGGGTAAGCTGAAAATCACTTAGAAACATCCAATTAGCCTCGTTAGAAAAACCTCCATTAGATTTTGGGCTTTTCAACTCACCACTTTGTGAACGAAGTTCTAGATTTGCCCCACTGCCAAGAACAAGTTCCAAGAAGCATTTTTTCTTAGAGACATTTACCTCCATAGCTTCCTCATTAGACATTCAGAATATGAACCTGCTGACAGAAAAACATTAATTCAGAATGCTTGTTGGAGTAACAGATACACAATCCTGTCCTAACTTTATTGTAAATATGTCCAGGTTATTGTCTGGAGCACTTAGTAATGAAATATATTACTTAAAAATGCTTTTTACATTTGTGTAAATATGTATTTAAAGTGCCAATTTGATAAGATACAACTTATTAAAATATGTCAAACAATATACAGTATACGTAATATTTTATACATTTTTTTATACATTTTATTTATGCCAGTAAATAAATAAATGCATACAATAAAAAAAAAGTTTTAAAATGATAGTGATTATAGTGCAAGAAAAATACAGTCAACAACCCTTTAAATCGCTACGAAACACGATTAATAGCAATTTAAAAGGGATATTGCCCTATATTTTTCTGGCACCAGTTTTAAACACTTTTTTATGCACTTTATTTACTGGCATTTTAAAGGGACAAATGAAAAACATTTTATGCACTCTGTATATTGTTTGGTATAATTTAATAAGTTGTACCTTATCAAATTGGCACTTTAAATACATATTTACACAAATTTAAAAAGCATTTTTAAGTAATATTTCATTATCAAGCGCTCCAACATATACTCCACACATTTTATTTAACCCTTTAAACTACTAAAGGAGTAACTCATTAGGTGTTTTGAGCAGCTAATTAAAACATAAAAAGTATACATATATAAGCGCCTAATAACACGAACAAATCTAATGTCCAGGTTATTCACTAATGTGCAAATTTTGGGGAATTCAAAGTAAATTCCCAATTTCAAGCTAAAATAACCAAACTGGCAAAAACTGCTAAATAGTCCATGTTTTTCGTATCAGCCATATTGGCCTAGAATTTGAAATCCATTTTGTAGACCTAACAATTTTTACTTTATTGAACACTCCTGCTAGCGTTCTCCTCTGGCCCTGTCAGCTATGGGTTACAGAGAATGCTGACTTACCTCCATTTTAGCTTCCTTTCTATAAGAGCTGTGTTGGAATAATGTGGTTCTCCTAGGACCTTATCAGGACATCATATTTATGGAAGTAAGGTGACATATGATTTTATTGTGGCTTGCTGCCATTATTATCTCTCACCACTTCCAATGAACCACGATTTATCTACATACATACCTTTTAAATATCCTCACTGCTACAAAAGAGACAACCTCCAGAATAAGTTTCCAAAGACATCCCCTAGTGGTGCCATAAAACCATCCCATTGTGGGCTCTGACCCCTGGTGACAGAGGACCTTGTCCTTTAGGGAACAGTGGTTCTATCCAGTCGTAACCTGAGCTGGTAATCTATATGGTGATAACCTCAGATGGAGGGAGCTGGCCTATTATACCCCTAGGAACTTGCCCCTAGCCATTTGCTCAGTTTATCACAGACATTTGAGCACCAGGGTTGAGAATGTGTCCAGCTCTCTGGCAAGTTGCCACAGGGTCACTGTAGTCTCTCACCAGGTCCTCACACTGTTTAACACGTTTGTAATGCCTTGTAATATATATAAACACACTGCCTGTTGTACACTAAGCCGCTGTAGTCTTGTCATTGCTCTCAGTCCAGTGTTTGAGAATTCTTCACATTATCCGGTATCCGGCTGATATGGAATAAGCTCAGACTGCTAGGCGAGCTGTGGTAGCTCAGGGAGGACCATGGTGGCATGCAGAAGTGATGGGTGCAGTGGTAGGTTCAGGTCTGGATCCAAAGTCAGAGACCAGCCACCCTCTGTTACATCCTGATCTGTTCTAGTTCAAAAATGATAATAAATATGATATATATTCAATATATAAAATATGTTCGGCCTATGTTTGCAACATAGGACATTTCATGCTATAAAACCGTAAAGTGCTTTGTGTGGTGTGGGAATATCAGATTCACCGGAGTAATTACCAACAAGTAATCTTTGCTTTTTTATTATTGGAAAGTCTCTATAAATTACTTCCTGTGAGGGTAGTCAGGGCATTCCTGTCACCATAACCACTTCACTGGGTTGTTTTAGTATCCTGAGTGGCCTTTTAATAAATGGATATCACAGTAAAATAATTTCAAGGTGAGTGACACCCAGTGGTGGAAGCTGGGAGTGACACTAATTATCGATTCAGTGTTATTTACTGGACAGCCACCATCTGTTAGATCTCTTTATCTGGTCTAATACATTAGATTAAATAAGATTTAGTAATACATTTTTTTTCTGGCAATCTATGGCAGCATTACTAATGGGTAGCTCATCCTCTCTTAGTTATTAGTACAGGAAATCGAAATAAATATTATAAAAGTAATCTCTCTCTAATCAGCAGTCTTTTACGGTCCTCATGGCTATTGGACACTTCCTATAGCATGGTTCTATATGTATATTTTTTTCAATTTCTTCTTAGTTTTGTGACAGATCTCCACTACTCCGACTGAGTACCTCTGCCCAGTTCGCTTCCTAGTTGCCATCATGGACCTGAAACGTTTCAGCCCCAGCCGCCAGAGCTTGGCAGAGGTCATGGAGGACTTCTTCCACCCTGGACCAGACTGCATCTTTCTCCATGCAGGCAGGTAACGTCCCCTCTGCCTTTGCCTCTCCCAGGCAGATATTAAACACTTCTGCCTACATTGTGTACAGCTACTGCCATTACAAAGGCACTTGTGAATCTCAGACCTGCCTAGCTCTTATTTTAATATGTCCAAGAAATCAGAACCAAAGCAGCCAGCCAACAGGTCCAAAGACGATTACGGAGATCCCGGAATAAAGCGACCAGGACACAATGGAACGAACACACACAGCTTTATGTTCACTCAGGACTAGACCATATTCACATTACATTAAACATATGGGGACAAACTCAATTTAATACAATTAACCATATATAGGAAATTATACCGGGACTCATAACACTAATATATTCATAAAAAGAGGTGGGGAAGATAATAACTAACAAGAAGTATCGGCCCTGATGGCATGAAGGTTGAATGGCAATCTTTGCAAGATTTAGGATGTTCAGAGACAGTAGTGTCTAGCTTACTTCAGATTAGGAAAAAAAAATAAAAATCAATTTCTGCTACTTATAACAGAATTCGGATGGTTTCCCTGATTGGGCTCAATCCAGAAATTGTCAACTTCTAGACCCTTGTTGATGTTCTAAAATTCCTCCAGTATGGCCTTGGTAAGGCTTTAAGTCTCACAACACTTCATTTACAGATTTCACGGTTATCAGTTCTTAAGGGTGTCCAATGGTTCTTAGAACCTATGGTTGCAATATTTATGACTCATGAAAATCAGACATCCATTAAGGACATGGTTGCCACAATGGGATCTTCCCTTAGGGCTCTATCTTCTCCTCCATTAGAACCCATCCAAGAAATTTTGGATTACCTCCTGACTTTAAAAAAGCCATTTTATTAGTTGCTGTAACCTCAGCCAGAATAGTATTGGAATTTCAGTCCCTTTCGAGCCTGGACCTTACACTTTTTCATCAGGATATCTTCCTTCACGGTACTCCTGAATTCAGGCAGAAGATAGTTTCGGATTTACGTTTATTCCTAATTCACAAAATGGACGAACAAGCTCATTGGCGCACTTTGCATGTGGTGAGTTGTCCTTCAGTTTACTTAATTTTAAATAGTTCCTGGCAAACCGATTTGAACAGATGGATAGAGACCACAAATATTAAAGCTTATTAGACTGAAAATATTGAAATCCAGAATGGAATTAAGGCTAATTCAACTAGGTCTCTCTCTACACTTTGTTTGCGACTGCAGCAAAGATTGCTGTTGAGAGCATTTGCAAGGCAGCAACTTGGACTTCAGTTAATTCACTTATGAAGTATTATTATCTTGATGCCACGGCTGCTAAGGATGCTCAGTTTGGTTGTGATGTCCTCAATTCTGTTACTTCGAATTAAAAACTTTACTTTTGCATTTGTAAACACGTGTTTTGTGTATATTTTAGGTCCCACCCATTATGAAAGGGTCTTCGCTTGGGTATTACCCATTAGGGATGCGGCCATGAATTTTCCAGGAATATGGAAGTTATATATTTATACTAACCATAATTTTCGGTTCATAGATCTAAGGCAGTGTCAGTGTCTCCCTCCTCCCCCTCATGGACTTGTTAGTAGATTGAGGGTTAGTCTCTTTTATAAACTTTGTTTCTATTTCCTGTCCCATCAGTCGAGAGGGGAGGAGCTACCCTTTAGTGATAAAGTCATGGATCTATCCAGGAAAAGAAAGTTACAGTTAGTATGAATACATTTTACTTATTTATTACTACTCTTTCCAAGGACTGAAGATTTATGAACCTCAGTGTTAACATTTGAAGGAAACTCAGCAATACAAAATAGCATTTCTAAGTAAAACATTTCTTAGTTTGTTTGTGCCATGGATGCCTGCTATTGCAGGTCTATGGCCTTATGACGATTTGCAATGATAAGAAATCATGGGTATTCAATTTACATCTAAATAAAATGTAGGCTAATATATATATATATATATATATATATATATATTTTTTTTTTTTTCAGGGTGATGACATTAATGTATGAAAGAAGAGGCAAATATGCCATCTTGTGGCCTGATGAGGAATTACTATCTTTAAAATTGAAACTCCAGTATATAGTCTAGCCTTTGGTGACACCTCGCCATAGATATATCCTTGGATGACACCTCACCATAGGTATCTTCTTGGATAGGGCAGACAGTGGAAGAGAAAAGACAAAAACCAACAACTTATTGCTCCAACTTGCAGGTCATGTGATCAGTGATCTCAAACCAAAAATAAATGTGCTAACTCAGAGATAACAGGTCTACATGAAATCTTCCAAACTTGCTGACACTAGTCATACGCTGTGTTACTGCCATGATTTTATTAAACAACAATTAGCAAAATAGATAGGACAGATTCTTCAAGTAAATGCCAGAGAGCCAATGTACTGCCCATATTTGGTGACTATCCGACTAGAAAAGCCCCCAGACTATCATTTTATTATAAGCAAACTTTAACTAGGAATAAAAGGTCACATGTTTAGCGCTGAGCACAATGACAAGTGCAAAGAGTGGAGCCTATAACATTGACTGACAGGGATCCAACACAGAGGTCTTCAGTCCTAGGATAGAGGTAAACACAATGGCTCGATATCTACAGCGATACTTTATTTTTCATACCTCACAAACACTTATTTGTTAATTATAACAAAACAGTTTGGTCAAATGAAAAGCCAACCAATGGACAATTATTTCCAAAAGCATAGAGTTATTTGGCATTTACAAAAACTACATCTACGTATGCAAAAATATATCCACTTCGTTTGTATTGGGTAGGCGGTCATGTGACATGAGATTTACTAACCCCCCCCATGTTAAATAGGTTTCCCTTTACAAGAGGAAACTCTGATAGAGCGAACTTTAAACTTCAGTTCTGCTTCAGAAGGAGCAGAGAGATCACGGTTGCTTGAGGAAAGTTTATTGCTTCGCAGATTACTGGACAAGCTGGATTTAAAAAGCTTTGAAGTGCTTTCTGTACCATGAGAGAACTGAACTTGTTTTTGAGGCCTAACATTACCAAGACTCTGAATCTTTGAGTTGGTTTCCAGGGTTGGCAATACTTTCTTTTGCGGAAAGCTCATAACCGGTCTCTTCTTAACTCTTACATCTTGTTTTCGAGCAAAAGATAACCCTTCTATAGGACTTGACCTTGTAAATCTTTCAGCAGCAAGAACGTCATGGTGAAAATTCCCTTTGTTACAACGGTTTTCTCGAGCATCTGTACTTTTAACATGTTCTGCAACTGTAGTTTCCTTAACGCGTAGTGGTGTATGCAATGGCTTTATTTTTCCCGGAGATTTTGCAGGCATGCCAGTGGCTGTCTGAGGCCTTAGCTTACTGCCTTTTAATTTTTCTGCTTGCACCGTTTGCATCTGAAGCCATTCCAACTGGAGGAGACGGTCTATGTACCTCTCCAAAAATCCAGATCCTGTAGTTGGTAAGATAGGATTGCCCTCACTGTTAACAAATGTTGCTAGATGGGGCAAGTTCCAAGAATTAAAAGGTGGCGGCAGAAAATCTGGGAAATTATAGTCCCCATCTTCTGCAAAACAATGATCAAAATAGCCTGGCTCAATTTTCTCTGCCTGCAGGTTCAGCTCTGGGGGTGAGCGAGGGGAAGGAGGGATGAGAATACGCTCAGAGTCTGAGAGATCACTTGCACTGTCTTCGTCCTCTTTTATAAAACTGAGGGACTCAAAATCCAGGAATAATATCTCTGAAGACTCATTTTCCAGTTGTGAGGTGCTGATATTGGTAGAGACCAATCGGTCTGCAGGGATCCAAGCTGGTTTTGGTTTTGCCATCTCTTGCAATCCATCTCTAAAAGTTCCAGTCTGTGTGTCTAGACTTCTTTCAGAATATCCCAATTTTCTCTCTCTACATTCTTGGTCTTTTGGGTAACAAATTTTCCTAGTCCTATGGAACAAGATAGAGTTATTACAAAACATAACCTCAAAGTTTTCCGTAAACAGGGCGTTCGTGTATGTAAGCATGCATAATATATAGACTTTATAAGGGCAGTTTTTAAATAGGTCTGGTTGTCGAAAACATTCATGAAATATTTGACACACAGTTATTAAAGGATATGTCGAATAATCATAAGCTCTTGCCGTTACTGCAAAGTGCATGTTGCTTAGAATCCCCTGAACACTCTTTTGCAAGAGTGTTTTACAACAGCAGTCTTATGCACAGTAGAAAATGAGAGCCAACCTGTAAACGGGACTTGCACGGTCTGTGGCTTTTCACTAAACTGTGAGCCAGCTTTGTATAACCTGAAAGCCAATAATTATAGTTACAAATTGGCTAGAACTTGGGCTGTGGGAGGGATTTTTGAGAGAGTAAAAGGAGCACTATAGAATCAGGAACACAAACATGTATTCCTGACCAGGTAGGGTTAAAACAACCATCTAGCCGCCCTGTCCTCCTCATGCCTCCCTAAAATAGTAAAATCTTACTTGTATTCAAACCTGAAGATGCAGGCTTTGTCACGGTTTCCTTTTGACCTGCCCACTGCCTGCTGACATCAGCAGAAGTGGTGGCCTGATCCAATCACAATGCTTCCCCATAGGATTGGCTGAGACTGAGAAAGATGAAGATCCAGCACAATTCAAACACAGCCCTGGCCAATCAGCATCTCCTCATAGAGATGAATTGAATCAATGAATCTCTATGAGGAAAGTTCAGTGTCTGCATGCAGAGGGTGGAGACACTAAATGTTTGGATGCATTTTATGCAGCCATGACCCAGGAAGGATCTCTAACAGCCATCTGAGGAGTGGCCAGTGAAGTTATCACTAGGCTGTAATGTAAACATTGCATTTTCTCTGAAAAGACTGTGTTTACAGCAAAAACCCTGAAGGGAATGATTCTACTCACCAGAACAAATTCAATAAGCTGTAGTTCAAGCATGTCAAACTCAAAGTCTGGATTGGGCCACATAAACAAGGTTTAAGTTTATGTGGGCCGCAAAAAAAACCCCAAAAACGTACATTTTCAATGAAACTTGGGTTTATTTTAAAAAGTACAGTATAAAAAAAAAAAAGCATCCCCCTCTACTAAACCACAGCTCCCCCCACAGCACCTTGTGCCAAATCTGATCCTCCCGCTGACACATATTCAATGACAGACACACAGATACTCACTGACAGACACACAAACATGCTTGCAGACAGACACACACACACACACAAACACTTTAATTGCGTCTTACCTTATGGAGCCGATGTGGGGCCTCTCCCTGGGGTCCTTCCTGCTCCCTCGCGCGCAGTTTAGGGGTGCCGGAATATGACATCATATTCCGGTGCCCGGCTTCACTTTAGACGGTGCGCGGGAGGGAGCAGTGAGGAGCAGGAAGGCTGAGCTCCTTTGCTGCATCCACCTTCCCTTCCTCCCCGGCCGGGTAAGTGTTAGCAGAGTAGGCAAAAGCAGGTGCCTACTCTGCTATAACACCTGCATGTACTCGCGGCTCGTTTGACATGCTTGCTGTAGTTGTTCTGGTGACTATATAGTCAGGGCTGCCATCAGAAATTGTGGGTCCCCTAACATAGCTCAAGGTCCGGGGCCCCGCCTCCAAATCCCACCCACAGGAATACACACACACCCCGACACAAAAGGACACAGGAAGATACACACACTACTACTACTACTACTAAGATACACATACTAACAGACACAAATACTGAAACAGACATACACAGATACACACACACAGACATACAGACACACACACACACTGACGTACATACATACACAAATACATACACAGATACATACAGACATACATACTGATAGATATTGTAACGGAGCCCCAGTACTCTGACTGAGTACCTCCGCCAAGTCTGCTTCCTTGTAGCTATTAGGGACCCTGAAACACTTCAGACCCAGACGCCGAGGCTTGACTGGGATCACTTAGGGCCTTTTCCACCCTGGACCAAACACCAGACGACACATGGTGAAGGTTAAACAGCAACTCTTTAATGACTACAGCACACATAGTTTAAGCCCCCAACAGCCTCATTTACATACAATACGTTACATAGATTACTATAGTACAAGGAAGGGTGGGGTCAGACAATAGCAAGGGCTGATGGGAGATTGATGAGGGACAGAACAGCTAGTTTAAACTGGTCTGGCAGTGTCCCTGGGACAACACCCTGCTAGGTAAACAATAGGAAAAATGGGGGGAGGGGGAGATGCACAGACCAGCAATACATTCAACATACCCTGCACAAATAATAGGCACAATGTGACAAAACACAAAAGGAATTTGGGAGCCCACCCATAGTGTGTCTTCCATCCCCAGTGATGGTGACTACTGTCACATATCTTCCCCCCCAAAGGTAGACTAACCAGGTACCAGACCTCCAATCAGTCTGTGCTTGAGTTAGTCGAGTAATAAGTCCCAAAAAGTCCCTCCATCCTGGCAGCCCTCTCGACAAAGTTCCACATAGTTTGTAAGTTTGTCCCGGTCGGGAGCATACCCGATCACTCTGTGGAAGTCTGGTTTCGGCAAGCCAGACTGGGCTTCTTGGTCACCCTGTGCCTCTAATAAGCACAGGGTGACTTAGACATAAGAGGGGACTTGGAAGTGGAGAAAGGGAGTTCCCAGTGAATCTGCCATGGCCCCCTTCCCAAACTCAAACCTATCCCCATATGACTCCACTCTTAGGGGGCCACTGTGACCCCCATAGATCCCAATAGCAATTCTGGATCCCTGTATCTCCAGCTCAGAATAGTTTCCAGCATATTTCTCGCCCTTCAGAAGGAGACCAATACAGGAGACCCCAGACGAGTTGATTCTGAAGTTAGTGACTACATCCAGATAATCAAGGCCATTACCGAATCGGTATCCCAAACAAATTGCCCATGGAAGAGCAGCACTTACCCAGCCGACCTCTGCATCTACTAGAGCATATACCTGGCGATGCGTGCCCACTGTCCTGTCTCCCTGGATCTCTCTTCCCGCTGGAGGGAAGGCAAGGTGGCTGGGCCCCCTCTGACATGGGGTTGGGGATTGGAGCTCACTGTCCAGCCTTCCTGGGGACTACAGGTAGAGACCAGAGTCCCATCCAATTGTATTGGATAGAGATCCCCCAGTGCTTGTGGCAAAGGGCTGAGGTTAGCCATGCTTTGCTCTGGGATCCGCTCTTCCGTGGGACCAGCAGTGTCTGATGCCTGAGGCTCGCGGGTTCCTAGTGGGTTTGGGCAGAGGCAAGTGGAGCTCTGCCCCGATGCTAGCACTTCAGCTAGGGGAGTTGCGCACTCCTTGAACTGAACCTTTACTAGAAGGTTGATCTCCCTGCTCTTCAACTCCAGCGTCATTGCAAGTTAGGCACAGAGGCCAGCAGTGCTCTGACTCAATGCCAGCGCTTCAGCTGGGGTGCTCCTCAAGTTCCACCATCACTAAAAGGCTGTCCTCCCTGCTCTCAACTTCCGGCGTTGCTGCAGGTTGGGGGCAGAGGCCAGTTGTCCTCTGTCCTGATGCCAGCTCTTCTGCTGGGGTTACATTTTGCCGCTGGGGAAAAAGACCAACTGCCTCCTCTTCCTGTAACGCAAACTTCAGCTGGGGAGGGAGATCGACTACCACTATTCCCAGTAACTCAATCTGCTGCTGAAGGGGGGGACCGACAACCTCTACCTCTGCTGCATGAGTTTCCATGCCAGGAGGTGGGAGATCTGGGATGGCTGCCCAGTATCCCTGTGATTCAGGTGTGGAGAATACGGTTCCTTCCACATCTACATGACCAACATATTCAGATGTGAGGTCTATTAAATCCCCAGTCTCTGGTACCTGCTGCTAAGCAGAGTCAAACAATTGCTTGTAATCCAATTCAAGCTCCCATTTCATAGTGGCCAGGTGGGTCAAATCAGGTTCCAGGTCAGTTGCTTCTGAGAGATCCAGTAGGTGTTCCCTATTTTCCCTAATGTCATAAAGCCAGGATCTCTCAGGACTTTCCAATTCAATTTTATCCTCAAAGGCCTCCCACAATAGGCCAGGGCCATCTTAGTCCTCATCCTCTGGAGGGTCATCATCTGCTAGAAATGGGTACTGCTGGACTGCATACCACCTTAAGGCCCGGTAAGAATCATCCAGCCACAATTCTTTCTGTACCAGCTCCTCTAATTTAAACACCCATTCCGCCAGAGGCTGCTCTCCCAAGAATTGCATCCGCAAATCAACTTGATCCCAAAATCGTTGCATAATGGTTGGGAGGCATTCTCCCCGGAGACATCAAGAACATTGTTCCAGAGATCCCGACGGATCGAGTTCCGTCGGTCCAGTACACCCTTTGTTAAGAAAGGGCCATCGTACTGGGACAGTAGCCTCCACTGTAACTCCTCCTCAGATGGGGATGCTGCACGGGTGCTAGCTCTATCCATTTCCATGAATTCCAGAAAGCACAGTGGGATCCCAGTAGAGGCGCCAATGTCCAGGGACGTTTCTACAGCTGCTAGGAAGCCATCCCACCACTGCCAACCAATGTAACGGAGCTCCAGTACTCCGACTGAGTACCTCCGCCACATCTGCTTCCTTGTAGCTATCAGGGACCCTGAAACACTTCAGACCCATATGCCGAGGCTTGACTGGGATCACTTAGGGCCTTTTCCACCCTGGACCAAACACCAGACGACACATGGTGAAGGTTAAACAGCAACTCTTTAATGACTACAGCACACATAGTTTAAGCCCCCAACAGCCTCATTTACATACAATACGTTACATAGATTACTATAGTACAAGGAAGGGTGGGGTCAGACAATAGCAAGGGCTGATGGGAGATTGATGAGGGACAGAACAGCTAGTTTAAACTGGTCTGGCAGTGTCCCTGGGACAACACCCTGCTGGGGAAACAATAGGACAGGAAAATGGGGGGAGGGGGAGATGCACAGACCAACAATACATTCAACATACCCTGCACAAATAATAGGCACAATGTGACAAAACACAAAAGGAATTTGGGAGCCCACCCATAGTGTGTCTTCCATCCCCAGTGATGGTGACTACCGTCACAGATATATACATACACACACACACACACACACACAAACATACACGTAGACATACATACTTGCAGACACAGACATACATACAGATAGACACACAGAGACACACATACATACATGCAGACACATACCATACACACACTTCATTTAACAGCCACCCTCCTCTTACCTTTAAGTTGCAGGAGGGTGGCTGGGGATGATGGGAGTGGTGTCCTCTGCTCTCCCACCGCGCGGAGTAAGCTGGGAGGAAGTGACCGGCCGTCACTTCCTCCCAGCAGCACTTGCAGTGTAGCCGCAATTTTTTTTTTTAACCCCTTAAGGACCAAACTTCTGGAATAAAAGGGAATAATGACACACGTCATGGGTCCTTAAGGGGTTAAAGGGGCCCGGTCGCGCTATTACACGGCCACAGCGTTGACCGGGCCCCTGAAGATATAGGGCCTATCGGGTGGCCCTAAATGCTTGGGCCACCTGATGGGCCCCGGTGCGGATGCACATGTGGCAGTTTCGCCGTTCTATGTGGGGCCCGGACGGCAGGGCCCCCCAGGGCCGCTGGGCCCATGACAACCGTTATGGTTGTCACCCCCGATGGTGGCCCTGACTATATAGTGTCCCTTTAATAAAATCTCCAAACAGATTTAGATGCTGCCAATTGGAGCATCTCATTGTCGTGTGGAAGGGGCCGCTTGCAATGGACACTCTCTAGGAAAGGTCCTTTTAATTTTAATGTACATTATTTTGCAATATTTTTAATAGATTATATAACGCATTTAAATTACAATGTGAATTTTGCATTGGCTAACTCTATACATAATAGAGGACATAACAGATTTGAGGCTTGGATGTAATTTAATTTGAAAGAGATTTCTAATGCTGATTTGTACCTAAATGAGAGCTGAGCTTTGCCAAAATGCTGGTTTTCCATGGCAGAGAGAGTTTGCATTGAAGGCTCTCATTCACGAACACCTGAAATGAAAAATACAAATATCAACTGGGATAGACAAAATGAAAACATTAACATAATGGCCAAAGTGGGTTTCAATGGACAGATCAGATACTAATATTGACTTTGCTTTGTGAGACAAGGCAGAAATAGAGGGGAACTGAATTTAGGGCATCAAACTAAATAATTTATAACACTGCAGCGGACTAGGCAGAGGGGATGATACCTGCCTGGAAGGAGAGAGCTGTAGATTGGTTGGTTGGAAGAGCTCCAGAGAGACCCGAGTTAAGCTTCGGCGAATGGGACTTAAAACGTTCCAGGGTCCATGCAAGCGGCTAGGAAGCGGACTGGAAGGAACTCAGTCGGAGTACAGGAGCTCCGTCACAGTTCATACAGACCACCAATTAAAACCAGTAAAATAGAGGACAAAGCATCTATGTAACCACTCCACTAAGCACTGTATTAAGAGCTTGTGCCTACCAGTGGAATTATAAATAATAATAAAAAAAACAAAGTATATGTAAGAGAATTAGGAAGTCATCCCTACTTTGATTATATGAAAGGATCCTTCAGATATATACTTGCACATTTGGACAGACAGGGATTGAAAACTAGTATCATGTATGATATGGCACTGCAGGGCAACAAGAAAGTGATATATGCCTAACCTGCTACACTGTGGCAGAGCTCTGTGACCCTTTAAATTTCTTACACTTCTGAATCCACCTGTTTAACAGTATAAGCACACTGGAGTTTGACAATGGGATCACAAAATATGCAATGTTTTGCCAATATGCCTCAGTAATGTGTATACGGCCTATTGGATGAAACATGGCACATTTTATGTGTTTTTAATCAATGTATTCACCCTGTTGAACCTGTGTATTGTTCACTAGTGTTTGCAAACTGACAGGTTCAGCTGATTGAAGAATCGGGTCATATACTAAAAAGTAGGGTTGATTTCCTGTCCATTTTGTTTTTACATATACTTAATAAAAAAAACAAAAAAACAATTTACTTATAATATCAAATGAAAGTACTTTCATTTTTGAGGTGACCGTTGCCTTTAAGTCTTTCCTGTTATCTTCCTTTATCACTTGATACAATTAGAGGTGTTAACTGTTCACTCTAGTACAAAACATGCTAGCAGATTACTAGGAAGTCCAGGCAGATTATCCATAGTACTCCTGAAAGGTCATTGAGGTAACCCTATCCTACCAAACCATCCGTGAAACCACCACAAAGACAACAAGGAAACAAACCTAAATAATAATGTGGACCTGCGCCATGTGACAGGCAGCAGGTTAATCACACAAACCCTGACTACAGCATTGCTCGGCGTCGGATTACTACAATGGAAGGGAGCCTGGTGCATGAATTTTATGTCCCTCTAAACAGAGTCATATCGTTTATAAAACGAAACTAAAACCAAATTACACCATGTAAGCCAAAAAGAGAGGGGGGGAGGGGAGGCAGGGAGAGAATCACCAAAACATTTGTACATTTTTCCAACAACTATTTTAGCATCCATTTTCAAATATATAGATTCTCCCCTGCAAGGTGTCACTGCTTGCCTTTCTTCCATCTCTGACTGGATGTCTTCCCGCTTTCTGAAACTCAGTCTCTCTAAAACTGAACTCCTGGTCTTTCCTCCTCCTTTGCGCTTCCTTCAAGTTAGTGGTATCCACACAAGTCCATCCTTGCAAGCACACTGTCTTGGCGTCATACTTGATTCTGGCCTAACCTTTGAGCCTCACATCCAGTATGTTGCCAAGTCCTGTAGATTCCATCTTAAAAACATAGCCTGGCACGCATCCGCCTATTTATTACACTACCAAGTAATCTCTAGTAATTTCCCGCATGAATTATTGTAACCCTCTCCTAATTGGTCTTCCCAAAAGCTGTATTGCTCCGCTACACTCTAATGAATGCTGCTGCCAGACGGATTTTCCTCTCTAGTCGGTCCTCTCACATCCTCTCCCTTCTGTCAGTCCTTACATTGGCTACCTGTATCCTATAGAAGTCAATTCAAAGTGCTAACCCATACCTATAAAGCACTGAACAATTCTAGCCCCTCATATCTTCACAGATCCATAGGTAGGCCCCTTCTCGGTCTCTCCACTCTGCCAGTGACCACCTCCTGTCCGCTGCTCCCACCCGTATGACCAACTTGCACTTGCAGGACTTCTCGTGGGCAGCTCCCTTCCTATGGAATAGCCTGCCTACCGCCAGACCCCTAGTCTTCAATCCTTTAAGGAAGGCTTATGGCCATCTCTTTAGGAAGGCTTATGGCCTCCCAGAGTAACCTCTACCTCACATACCTGTCTCTTGCTCTCTCCTAAAGGGCAGCACTTTACTCTCTCATCCAGCTCTGCTTCACTCCCACCTTATTTGATTGCTATTTCCTGTCCTAATGTATTTTATACCCCAACTCCTATAGACTGTAAGCTTGTTTGAGCAGGGCCCTGTTCAACCTAACGTTTTCTTGTAATTGTCCTATTTATAGTTACATCCCCCACCCGATAATATTGTAAAGCGCTACGGAATCTTTTGGCGCTATATAAATGGCAATAATAATCATGCTTGTTACAGAATAAATCCCTAAATTGCGTGCTACTTTAAATGAGTAGAGAATAAACAAGAGTTAGACATATTCAGCAATGTAATAAAAAAAAGGAGCAGTGGACACATATGTACACAGAGAAGTGAGGTATGACAATATATGTACCTACTGTCATGACATCAAAGTGTCTGGCCTTTGACTTCCAATACATTCAAGGGCTCTCCTATATCCTGGATTGCATTGCGTATCATTGCCGTTACAGGATGTAGCACATTTGACAGGCTGCCAGGATCCCTGTTAAAGAGGTACAAGGAATGAACCAGTGTGATTAAATAAACAAAATGCATGCATCCAAAGATCCCTTTTATTTTGATGTGACAAGGGGCAATCCTCCCTACATGAATGGATAGAATGAACATTCCCTGCTTCTATCCACGGCTAAATGCCCCCAGCTTGTGGCGTTTCCAGCACTTGAACATTCAGCTTGCTAGTTACTGTCACCTTGTACTGTCTTGATGTCACTGCTGAAACACAATGTAAATAAAAGGACATGGCTCCTCCTAGCTAACCTCAAAGGAATACGAGGCACTCTTTGCAAAGCATTATGGGGAGCGCTTGCAAAGCAAAGATAACTGCTGGATAGCTGGCATAACACCAGGTAGCATTACTATAATCTGCTTTGTAATGTATACAGGCTCCTTTCTGCCAGTATGTCTCATAACACGTTGATACTATTTTTGCTCAAGCTCTGTCCTCTGAAGTTAGTAATACATCAATCTTTTCAACCCGACATTTCAGTTTCCTGCAGCAATGAGAGGCTGGTCCCTGAACCTAGGGAGGCAGGGAGAAGTAAAATGACAGGCATGTCACTGCTCCAATGGAAACAAAGAGCATTCTATTACTGCCATTTCACAGCAGCTTAGCCAGCCCTCTGCTTCAGGTCTGGGGGGAAAAAAATGCAAACTCAGGATACAAAAGAGTTTATCTGCATCAGGCTGTCAGCTAACCAGTTACTTCATTTCCAGCAATCTCTTCCGGGTTCACACGCAGCACAGAGAGAGCAGCCACTGCAGAGATCCTAACACTGGCCAAAGCACAGAGATTAGACCTGCTTGCAGTGTCCTCCAGTGCAGTTTCTACCAAGAATCAAAAGGTCTTGGCTGCAGTGTCTGTATGACACAGAAGGGGTGGCAACGGAGCTGTAATTGCAAATAACTGCCATGTTACGCTCCTATGGATGAGCTGGAACTGGATCAGATGCTACAAATACATTAGGAAAGAATACCAACCTAGTGCGTGGTAAGGGGCAAAGCAAGCTTGGGAGATTAGCCACTTGTGATATCAGGAATCTATTCCTAATCCACTGCCATCTTACCATGTCTTTCAAAATACACCCTTTCCCAACGAATCGCAACGTTAAGGAGCAAGTTGAGCTCTGCATGCCACGCAGCCTTAGTTATATTAACAATCTGTACCAGAACACACAACTGGTAGAAGGCTTTGGTGAGCGAAGAACCCACAATACATTTGCAAAAGATCAGCAGGGATCGAAACATCTTCCCAGAACCCAAAGCACAGCAAATACCAGCTGTGACCCTCAACTAAGGCCCATCATGCGCAGGAGAACCAAGTCTCTGCCCAGCTCTCCTGAAAGGAAGATTGCCACCAAGTGCCATCCAAGATGTCACAGAGTGAGGTTTGCGGATTCCCTTGGCCTAGAGCTGGCAGAGGTCAAAGTTTTTAATGCTGCGGATTACCCATCCATCCCTCTGCATGTTCTCTCCAGGCTTTCGATTAACTCCGACCTATGCTGTAGCCAGGACTTGGTGTTTGCCATACAGTTCCTGCAGCCAGACTTCCAATCTCCAGCCGAAAGTGAAGGCTTCACCGAGCGCCTGCAGAGAAACAGCGTCTGCCTGGAACATGTTGTGAGCTCAGAGGAACTGGGCATCTCTGGGACAATCAGAGTTGTGAACCTGGCATTTGAAAAATACGTCTCAGTCAGGTATTCATTTACAGACTGGAAAACCTATTATGAAGTCAGCGCAACTTGGAAGAAGTCCAAAGATGCGAGCTCGGATGTATTTTCATTTGGAATACCACTTCCCCCTTACCTCCAGCACATATGTTCAGCGGTACAAATAGCGATCAGGTACCAGGCTGCAGGTAAAGAATACTGGGACAACAACGAGGGCAAAAACTACAGCTTTACATACAAGAGTCATGTGTTAAAAATGCCCAGAGACATGGAGCAGAGCTGGATTCATTTCATCTAAACTCTCGATTATAGTGCTAAAGAGCAGAGCTCAGGTTCAGCTTTCTAGTGCTTTCAGTTTTATGGTATCCACACTGGGAATCCTGTGATCAATCTAGAACCAGCACTGCTGTTATTGCATAAGGTAAACAGCAGCGGTTAAAGGAACAGACTTGTTTTTAGTTATGGTTTGTACACTGAAGGACGCACTGAGAACTGGAGTGAAAGATTTAACGTTCGTATATTGTTAGGCCTGGCATTGCAGGAGACAGAAGATATGTTGTTTAGTTTATGGGCATTTTATATATAAAATTCAGGCTTTAAGGGCTGCTATGGATTTCTGCTGAGCCTTACTTTATCATAGTAGTATCCAAAAGCTTCAACAGATCAATTACCTGTGTTAAAGCAGGAATCCTGAATTGTTTTCAATAACTTTCCATTAAGTGATGGTAAAAATGTTTGCTCTGAGATATGAAATGTTATATCTCTGTAAGATAAAATTACAACAGGGCTCAAAATGTGTCCTACACTAGTAAACAAGCCAAAAGGTTATGTGCAGTTACAAGCTCTGAGGATTTATGGCATATTACTCACCAGGGGTGAATTTTCACTTGCAATGGCTAGAGGCAATTTAAAAGCCGGATTACAGTATTAACAAATGTCAGTGTAACATAATACATAACAACGCATTCACGGTGTCACCTTAAAAAGATCTTCAGACACAAGCGGTCACAGACTTGTGGAATGCTACTTAAAGGACCACTATAGTGCCAGGAAAACACTCATTTTCCTGGCACTATAGTGCCCTGAGGGTGCCCTCACCCTCCGGGTCCCCCTCCCACTGGGCTCTGGGGGGGAGGAAGGGGAGCCGCGTGCATTCAGCCAGTCCATAGGAAAGCATTCACAATGCTTTCTTATGGACGCTGGCGTCTTCTCACTATGATGTTCACGGTGAGAAGCGCGGAAGCCCTCTAGCGGCTGTCCATGAGACAGCCACTAGAGGCTGGATTAAGCTTAATATAAACATAGCAGTTTCTCTGAAACTATGTTTATAGAAAAAAGGGTTAATCCTAGCTGGACCAGGCACCCAGACCACTTCATTAAGCTTAAGTGGTCTCGGTGCCTATAGTGGTCCTTTAACCCCTTAAGGACCAAACTTCTGGAATAAAAGGGAATCATGACATGTCACGTGTCCTTAAGGGGTTAAAGTCACACCCTCTAAACTTGCAATTTAAACTCACACAGGTTAACTGCAGAATATGGGTAGCTCATTATCGGACTCCATTATTTGCACTTTTACCGCCCGTCTTGTGGTAACAGTCTATTGCTTAATCAAAGGGCATGAACTATTTTGAGTACAGGGTGACACCCGGCACGGTTTAAAAAAAAATAAAAGAAAGAGTATATAATCAATATATAAAATGCCAGCTCTGGCACTAACTGCAAGCAACTATGCAGTATTGAGGGTAGTTACATTTTAGGTTTCTGCTGGCTATTTAAACAAGAACGTTCCCGCAAAAGGACAATTTGTAAGTAGTTTAAATGTTAGCAGTACGTGTGTGCTTATTTAAAGCATGCAAGCAAAACATTAAGCATATTACAGCAATGGTTCACTTCACTTTGTACATTAAAAAATGGATATGAAACTCTAGCTGTACATACAATTCTACAGCTTATCACGAATTCCTTTTACACATACAGAGTTATTCACTGAACTGTGAATTATTAGAAATACAAAGTGAATTTTAAGGATAACAGCTGAGCTGGAAAAAGTAGGTTTTCAGTTTGGCTATTTAAGCATAACATTTGCATTTCACTTTGAATTCACTTTAAATCTTTGCAAATTCCCACTTTAGTGACTAAGGGATACTGCCTCCTTCCCTTAGTGGATAAGTGAAAGCAGGAGGTGTTAAGGATAGGGCAGCACAGCTAGAGATACACTAAAGCAGTCATGTGCAAAGTCCCGCTGTTCATAAACCTGATAGAACAGTATTTAAAGTAAAATAAAAGTTGAACTTGTCAAACTGAAAAAGGCAATGACAGTAAAATATGCATTATTACAGTCCTGTAGCTAAGCTGTTTTTTCACCAAGCACTATTTCTTTGGGCAGAGTACAAGCAAACTCTGCTAGTAGGGGAGAATTGTCAATACAGTAAGCACATGCGTAAGCTATAAAAATTATATGAAAATTGATTTGTTAAAAAATATATATAACATGTTAAACAACTGAATACGGGAACTTTTGCAAAAGAAGTAAAAGTAACTACATTTGAAAGTAAACAATACATGTTCCAAATTAACAGTTTTTTTTCAGGAAGTGTGTAGGGGAGGTGTGACTGACAGTCACAGGAGGTTTGGCTAAAGTTGCAGAACAATCAAGGTTTAATTCCTAAGTGACAGAGGAATGAACAGTGAGAATGCAAGGGCACGATCTATACACCAAAAACACTTCCAAAAGGCCACAGTGGGCTTAGACGGACACTTTAATCCAGAGGCCAAATGCCAGCTCGCACCCCACTTCAAGTAAACATGTACAGGTAAATTAATCAGCACTCAGCCATTATAGTGTTTGATTTAGGAATGGTCAGAAGGCAACATTCCTATTGTGGTATTTTAAAACAAGATTTCGTTATACTCAAATTCTTGAAATAATAGCCATAGCTATAGTAGGACAATCTCCAACAAATAACAGCGGGTTCCTATGTATAAAGCAGCATTTTACACAAAAGTATACGCAGATGATACAACACTTGGCTCAGGAGTATATCTTGATCTCTTTAATACAATACGATCTGTAGGTACGATTTCTCTAGATAAAGAAGGAATTAAGGGAGTTGTAGTTGAACTGACTGTATGGATTAGCATCATAGCGTTCTCTGCATGTCGCTCCAAACGTTATCCATGGAAGAGGATTAGTAAGTCCAAGTCCAATAACGCAGATCACATGGCATTATAGTGGAGAGCAGACATCACAGTGGGCATTATATACTTGGATCTCACAGGTCAGAGGGCACAGCAAGCTTCTTAAACTGTGCAAGGATTCCATTAACAAATTATTAAAGTGAGAATTGAGATGAACTACAAGCATAGCTGACTTGGAGAATTGTTCCAGTTCAGCTATTTTGGCCTTAAATTTGAAATCCCAATATTTCCCACTTGAGTGAATAAGACTGAATATGTTCTCTAACACAGTGTGCAAGATTAGTGTGGAAGGTTCCCTTTAATTATCTGATGGGACTAACCAATCATATAGTATTTAAAATCAAAGCTAATTTCCCCGCGGGGGTGTAAAATTGGTATGCAGTCAGATTAAATTTACATGCAAATTCACAATTAAGACTGGTGCGAACTCTTCCTTTACAATCACGATGAGATAACAATATAGTCACTCTGGAGGATCTCACATTGGCTAGTAAAAGGTATTTTCCTATTAGCTAGTCATGTAGTTGTTTAACTCCCATCTCTGGATTTGTGGAACAGACCAAGTTCACGGTTTTAGGACGCCAGGTGCAAGATTCCAGAATCACAAGAATGCTTTCTGGTAACACCTTTCATCATTCTGAGGTTGATAAAATTAAAGGGATACTCTAAACAGTATTTTTTGTTTCTTTCATTTTGTAAAAAGTGCAGACTTTAAAGGATCACTATAGTGTCAGGAAAACAAACTTGTTTTCCTGACACTATATCATCCTTAGGCCCCCCCTTCCTCAGAGCTGAAGGGGTTAAAACCCCTTCAGTTACTTACCTTAATACAGCGCTGGTGACCTCTCCTCCCCCACCATCAGCTCCCGCGCATGCATTCAAACAGTCCATAGGAAAGCATTTCTCAATGCTTTCCTATGGTTGTTCTGCACACTGGATGCGAATTTCGCATTCAGCGTCACAGATGTGCTTCTAGCTGCCGTTAGGAAGACAACCACTAGCGGTTGGATTAACCCTGCTATGTAAACATAGCAGTTTCTCTGAAACTGCTATGTTTACATCTGAAGGGTTAAAACCTTGAGACCTGGCACCCAGACCACTTGATTGAGCTGAAGTGGTCTGGGTGACTATAGTGTCCCTTTAATAGAAAATTACACTTTTAGAAATTAACCCGGTTATAACCCCTTTGCTTTCAAGCAGACAGCAGGTAATGTTGCTTTCTGGTTTGGTTAGTTCAGTGAAACTTCATTAAAACAGGCAACAATTGCCCAGAGCACCTGCCTTGCAAAGACTTCTCACTAAGTTGTATTGGGAAATCTGTGATTGGACAGAAACAGAAAGTCTGGGGCGATTAGAAGGGGAGGGCTTGCAAACGCTGCAGACAAGAGAATTATTATTATTTTTTTTTTAAAGCAGAATTAAATGCATGTGAGCTTATCTACTAAACGGTGGGTTTTATTCATTTTGTATTTGGACAGTGGAGTGTCCCTTTAAAATCAAACTCTAGGCACCATAATAACTGAATTATAATGAAGTTTGTGCAGTACTAGGATGTATATTTTTGCCCTTCGAAGACAGGATGCAGGGTACTCTAACCCATAACCTGTAAAACCATGTATGTATTCATGGTGCTTAGAGTGGCCCTTTTAGTTCAACTGTTAGTGTTCTATTAAAAGCTGTACAGCATGTAGCAGACCCAGCCAAATGTAGCTTGGGTCATAAATAAGATGAATGAAGGGAGCTACATGCACAAGGTAATAGAAGCCTCCTACCACTTGTATTAAGTTGCAAATGGCTTCATTCGGGATATACACAAACCATGAGAGTGTACTTTTTGCTAAAGCAACAAAAACCAGCATTATGAATTCTTGCACTGCGGGTACCTGGAGTGTCACTTTAAAGTGGAACACAAGCCAATAATCACTGATGGTTATCGATTTGTTGTATATTGCTAACTAACAAACGCATTTTAATTTTTCATTTACATTCTATGCCAGGATGTCCAAGCAAATTAATTTAACCCCCACAGTACTATGAAAGGAATTCACAAGGGCACATGTGCTCTTACAGTATTTTCCAAGCAGATGCCCAGAGCATACATGGAGGGCGTTAGCCCCACACAGACATGCAGCAGTGGCAAGAAGTTTTTTTAGCTACCCTGCTGCACTCATAGTATTTACTGGGGGGAGGGAATGGAGAACTATCTTTTCAAAGTGTCATAATGGCTACAATTGATAAAACAATATTTTTAATGGATAACAATTTACAGGTAGATCTATACAACGGGATAACCAAAGTTTAAAGGAGCACTAAAGTCACCCAGAACTCTTCATCACAATGAAATCGTCTGGCTGCAGTGGTCCTGTCATTTCACCATTCAATGCATTAACTTGTATTGAATTACCAAAAATGTAAATATTGCATGTATATACACAGCCTCATGCTACATAAGTAAGCTCTATTTCAAGCTGATTAACCATTGAACTATAATTCATCTTAAACAGAAAAGTATCTTTGCATATATTTTTCCTCCAAATGCTTTTCATTAAAATAAATACGATTTAACAACTCCCCCTGCCCTCACCCTCAGGGTCCCACTCCCGTGGCGCTGAAGGGGGAGGAAGGGGTTAATCCCTTACCCTTTTTCCAGCGCCCGGCGCTGGTACTCTCCTCACTCTTCTGACGTCCCTGGCTGAATGCGCATGCGCGGCAAGAGCCGCGCTCGCATTCAGCCATTCCATAGGAAAGCATTCACAATGCTTTCCTATGGACGGCAGCGTCTTCTCACTGTGAAAAATGTAGCTTGGGTCATAAATAAGATGAATTAAGGGAGAAGCGTGGAAGCGCCTCTAGCGGCTGTCAATGAGACAGCCACTAGAGGCTGGATTAACCCTAAAGTAAACATAGCAGTTTCTCTGAAACTGCTATGTTTACAGCAAAAAGGGTTAAGCCTAGCTGGACCTGGCACCCAGACCATTTCATGAAGCTGAAGTGGTCTGGGTGCCTATGGTGGTCCTTTAAGTTTTTGAAATTGAAAGTTTCTGCACATACACAAAATAAAGGTCGTATCACATTTGAGTATAGAACTTCTTAAATCGTTTCACTTACTAGACATTTTCTACATAACTTTCCCAACAGGTCTCACCAGTATTTTTACAGTACTAGCAACATCAGACCAATGCCTCCCCCAACAAATTTATATAAAAACACGGTCTCATATATTTAGGGAAATAAGGTTTTCCTACATAACAGGGCACTCTAAGCACCATAAACAGAGGCATGCCTGCCCCTCAACCTCCATATTGCCAATGCAGAAGATATACTTTTTGGCCTTTTTTTTTCACAGGTTAAAAGGGCACTTTAAGAACCATAACCACTACAGAGTGCTCTAGTGCCATACGACTATTAAGAATCAAAGCACTTTCCAATGGTTTGACACTTACATAGATCTGATGTCTAAAGCATGGCTTTATATTGCAATATCAAGGTCACCCAACTTTGGAAAGTATTCATTGACTGACAGAAAAAAAACTGATATTGCTATGGATAAGCAGAAATTCCTGGCGTCTTTACAACTAAAGTGCACTGTATGGCCATAAAGCTTAATGCTCTTTTAAAGGTTAGGGGAGCAATCCCTTTTCTGGAAAGAACAGCAAGCATAAACCCCAGACTCACTGAACAATAAAGCCCTGTCGTGAGGAGCATTCATAAAATATAGGATGTAATTCAATATTGGAAGTTAAGCTGTACATTTGGATTCAGTCATGATTAATTAAATCCCAATACTACATACTGCAGGGCAACAATTTACCTGTCCAGAGATAGTCAGCATGCAGTGATATGGATCAAGGAAAACATGGTCTCCCTCAATGGGAAGTTATGGGTCAGTTTAGGTTGATGGAGAGATCTGGAACACATTCACATAAAGCTTCAGCAGAGACGGACACTCAGCCAGCAGGTGATAAGTCCAACCATGGAGAATCAGGTAAGGAGACGTTATACCTTTATTATTGGTTGACAGACTAAAAGGATTACTATAGAGTCAGAAAAACAAACTCCTTTTCCTGACACTATAGTACCCCGAGGGTGCCCCCACCCTCAATGTTTCCGATGGACGTTCTGCACACTGAATGCGAATTTCGCATCCAGCACCACAGATGCGCCTCTAGCAGCAGTCTGGAAGACAGCCACTAGAGGTTGGATTAACCCTGCTATGTAAACATAGCTGTTTCACTGAAACTGCTACGTTTACATCTGAAGGGTTAAAACCTGAGGGACCTGGCACCCAGACCACTTCATTGAGCTGAAGTGGTCTGGGTGACTATAGTGGTCCTTTAATACACAATGTAATTAGATTGCTGCTATTCATATTTTTGTGAAAAGCCTTGCTAATTTTACTTTTCTGAAAACATACTACAAAAGCCGAAGAAAAAAAAAAAACCAAAACCGCATATTAAACCAGTATGGAGAGCACAGTATGGGGATCCCACTCCATCTTCTGCCAGCCAGGCTCCATCTTACCGAATCCCCATCCATCTTCTGCTAGCCAGACTCCATCTTACCGAATCCCCCTCCATCTTCTGCTAGCCAGACTCCATCTTACCGAATCCCCCTCCATCTTCTGCTAGCCAGACTCCATCTTACCGAATCCCCCTCCATCTTCTGCCAGCCAGACTCCATCTTACCGAATCCCCCTCCATCTTCTGCCAGCCAGACTCCATCTTACCGAATCCCCCTCCATCTTACCGAATCCCCCCTCCATCTAACCGAATCCCCCCTCCATCTTCTGCCAGCCTGCCTCTATCTCCCCCTCCCTCCCGGTTCTGTGTTTCCGCAATTCGGCTCCAGCTTTGACGATAAGACACTGGCTGCCAGCATCTGAAGGGTAACATTCCCGCTCTTCATAGGCTGTCACTACCTCGGTCTCCGCACCTCATTGGCTGGCTGGGTCTCCTCTCCGCACCTCATTGGCTGGCTGGGTCTCCTCTCCGCACCTCATTGGCTGGCTGGGTCTCCTCTCCGCACCTCATTGGCTGGCTGGGTCTTCTCTCCGTACCTCATTGGCTGGCTGGTTCTTTTTTTCGAACCTCATTGGCTGGCTGGTACCGCTCTCCTTGTCATAGGCCGCGCGTGTTTGATGTAACACGTCACGTGACATTTTCCGTTGACTGAAAAATATGGCGGGAAAATAGAACTCTGGAAAAATTGAGGAGGAAATATTGAGGTGACAGAACTACTGACAGGACACAGTGATGGAGGACAGAACTACCGACAGGATACAGTGATGGAGGACAGAACTACCGACAGGATACAGTGATGGAGGACAGAACTACCGACAGGATACAGTGATGGACAGAACTACCGACAGGATACAGCGATGGAGGACAGAACTACTGACAGGATACAGCGATGGAGGACAGAACTACCGACAGGACACAGCGATGGACAGAACTACCGACAGGATACAGCGATGGAGGACAGAACTACTGACAGGATACAGTGATGGAGGACAGAACTACCGACAGGACACAGTGATGGAGGACAGAACTACCGACAGGATACAGTGATGGAGGACAGAACTACTGACAGGATACAGTGATGGAGGACAGAACTACTGACAGGACACAGCGATGGAGGACAGAACTACTGACAGGATACAGCGATGGAGGACAGAACTACCGACAGGACACAGTGATGGAGGACAGAACTACTGACAGGACGATGGAGGACGAACTGACAGGATCCAGTGGACAGAACTGCGGCAGGATCAGTAGTAGAGACAGAACTACTGACAGAGATACAGTGATAGAACTACTGACAGAATACAATGATGGAGGACAGAACTACCGACAGGACACAGTGATGGAGGACAGAACTACTGACAGGATACAGCGATGGAGGACAGAACTACTGACAGGATACAGTGATGGAGGACAGAACTACTGACAGGATACAGCGATGGAGGACAGAACTACTGACAGGATACAGCGATGGAGGACAGAACTACTGACAGGACACAGTGATGGAGGACAGAACTACCGACAGGATACAGCGATGGAGGACAGAACTACTGACAGGATACAGTGATGGAGGACAGAACTACTGACAGGATACAGTGATGGAGGACAGAACTACTGACAGGATACAGTGATGGAGGACAGAACTACTGACAGGACACAGCGATGGAGGACAGAACTACTGACAGGATACAGCGATGGAGGACAGAACTACCGACAGGATACAGTGATGGAGGACAGAACTACCGACAGGAAACAGTGATGGAGGACAGAACTACCGACAGGACACAGTGATGGAGGACAGAACTACCGACAGGACACAGTGATGGAGGACAGAACTACTGACAGGACACAGCGATGGAGGACAGAACTACTGACAGGATACAGTGATGGAGGACAGAACTACTGACAGGATACAGTGATGGAGGACAGAACTACTGACAGGACACAGCGATGGAGGACAGAACTACTGACAGGATACAGCGATGGAGGACAGAACTACCGACAGGACACAGTGATGGAGGACAGAACTACTGACAGGATACAGTGATGGAGGACAGAACTACTGACAGGACACAGTGATGGAGGACAGAACTACTGACAGGATACAGTGATGGAGGACAGAACTACTGACAGGACACAGTGATGGAGGACAGAACTACTGACAGGATACAGCGATGGAGGACAGAACTACCGACAGGATACAGCGATGGACAGAACTACCGACAGGATACAGCGATGGAGGACAGAACTACCGACAGGATACAGCGATGGACAGAACTACCGACAGGACACAGTGATGGAGGACAGAACTACCGACAGGATACAGCGATGGAGGACAGAACTACAGACAGGATACAGCGATGGAGGACAGAACTACTGACAGGATACAGCGATGGAGGACAGAACTACTGACAGGATCCAGTGATGGAGGACAGAACTACCGACAGGATACAGCGATGGAGGACAGAACTACTGACAGGATACAGTGATGGAGGACAGAACTACTGACAGGACACAGTGATGGAGGACAGAACTACCGACAGGACACAGTGATGGAGGACAGAACTACCGACAGGACACAGTGATGGAGGACAGAACTACCGACAGGACACAGTGATGGAGGACAGAACTACCGACAGGACACAGTGATGGAGGACAGAACTACCGACAGGACACAGTGATGGAGGACAGAATCCAGCTCCAGCCAGGATACAGCCATGGAGGACAGAACCACCGACAGGATGCAGCAGCGATGGGATGTAACCAACACTATGATACAGCGATGGAGCATGCAAACCACCATTACAGGATACAGCTTTACGGACAGAACCCACCACAGGACACACAGTGATGGAGGACAGAACTACCGACAGGATACAGCGATGGAGGACAGAACTACAGACAGGATACAGCGATGGAGGACAGAACTACTGACAGGATACAGCGATGGAGGACAGAACTACTGACAGGATCCAGTGATGGAGGACAGAACTACCGACAGGATACAGCGATGGAGGACAGAACTACTGACAGGATACAGTGATGGAGGACAGAACTACTGACAGGATACAGTGATGGAGGACAGAACTACTGACAGGACACAGTGATGGAGGACAGAACTACCGACAGGACACAGTGATGGACAGAACTACTGACAGGATACAGTAATGGAGGACAGAACTACTGACAGGATACAGTAATGGAGGACAGAACTACTGACAGGATACAGTAATGGAGGACAGAACTACTGACAGGATACAGTGATGGAGGACAGAACTACTGACAGGATACAGTGATGGAGGACAGAACTACCGACAGGAAACAGTGATGGAGGACAGAACTACCGACAGGACACAGTGATGGAGGACAGAACTACCGACAGGACACAGCGATGGAGGACAGAACTACTGACAGGACACAGCGATGGAGGACAGAACTACTGACAGGATACAGTGATGGAGGACAGAACTACTGACAGGATACAGTGATGGAGGACAGAACTACTGACAGGACACAGCGATGGAGGACAGAACTACTGACAGGATACAGCGATGGAGGACAGAACTACCGACAGGATACAGTGATGGAGGACAGAACTACCGACAGGATACAGCGATGGACAGAACTACCGACAGGATACAGCGATGGAGGACAGAACTACCGACAGGATACAGTGATGGAGGACAGAACTACTGACAGGATACAGTGATGGAGGACAGAACTACCGACAGGACACAGTGATGGAGGACAGAACTACCGACAGGACACAGTGATGGAGGACAGAACTACTGACAGGATACAGTGATGGAGGACAGAACTACTGACAGGACACAGCGATGGAGGACAGAACTACTGACAGGATACAGTGATGGAGGACAGAACTACCGACAGGATACAGTGATGGAGGACAGAACTACTGACAGGATACAGTGATGGAGGACAGAACTACTGACAGGATACAGCGATGGAGGACAGAACTACCGACAGGACACAGTGATGGAGGACAGAACTACTGACAGGACACAGCGATGGAGGACAGAACTACTGACAGGATACAGTGATGGAGGACAGAACTACTGACAGGATACAGTGATGGAGGACAGAACTACTGACAGGACACAGCGATGGAGGACAGAACTACTGACAGGATACAGCGATGGAGGACAGAACTACCGACAGGACACAGTGATGGAGGACAGAACTACTGACAGGATACAGTGATGGAGGACAGAACTACTGACAGGACACAGTGATGGAGGACAGAACTACTGACAGGATACAGTGATGGAGGACAGAACTACTGACAGGACACAGTGATGGAGGACAGAACTACTGACAGGATACAGCGATGGAGGACAGAACTACCGACAGGATACAGCGATGGACAGAACTACCGACAGGATACAGCGATGGAGGACAGAACTACCGACAGGATACAGCGATGGACAGAACTACCGACAGGACACAGTGATGGAGGACAGAACTACCGACAGGATACAGCGATGGAGGACAGAACTACAGACAGGATACAGCGATGGAGGACAGAACTACTGACAGGATACAGCGATGGAGGACAGAACTACTGACAGGATCCAGTGATGGAGGACAGAACTACCGACAGGATACAGCGATGGAGGACAGAACTACTGACAGGATACAGTGATGGAGGACAGAACTACTGACAGGACACAGTGATGGAGGACAGAACTACCGACAGGACACAGTGATGGAGGACAGAACTACCGACAGGACACAGTGATGGAGGACAGAACTACCGACAGGACACAGTGATGGAGGACAGAACTACCGACAGGACACAGTGATGGAGGACAGAACTACCGACAGGACACAGTGATGGAGGACAGAACTACTGACAGGATACAGCCATGGAGGATGAACCACCGACAGGATACAGCCATGGACAGAACTACCGACAGGATACAGCATGGAGGACAGAACCACCGACAGGATACAGCGATGGACAGAACTACCTATTGGTGACACAGTGATGGAGGACAGAACTACCCACAGGATACAGCCATGGAGGACAGAACTACAGACAGGATACAGCCGAGATGGAGGACAGAACTACCGACAGGATACAGCCACGGAGGATGAACTACTGACAGGATCCAGTGATGGAGGACAGAACTACCGACAGGATGTGGGCCAGCGATGGAGGACAGAACTACTGACAGGATACAGTGATGGAGGACAGAACTACTGACAGGATACAGTAATGGAGGACAGAACTACTGACAGGATACAGTAATGGAGGACAGAACTACTGACAGGATACAGTGATGGAGGACAGAACTACTGACAGGATACAGTGATGGAGGACAGAACTACTGACAGGATACAGTAATGGAGGACAGAACTACTGACAGGATACAGTGATGGAGGACAGAACTACTGACAGGATACAGTGATGGAGGACAGAACTACTGACAGGACACAGTGATGGAGGACAGAACTACCGACAGGACACAGTGATGGAGGACAGAACTACCGACAGGACACAGTGATGGAGGACAGAACTACCGACAGGACACAGTGATGGAGGACAGAACTACCGACAGGACACAGTGATGGAGGACAGAACTACCGACAGGACACAGTGATGGAGGACAGAACTACCGACAGGACACAGTGATGGAGGACAGAACTACCGACAGGACACAGTGATGGAGGACAGAACTACCGACAGGACACAGTGATGGAGGACAGAACTACCGACAGGACACAGTGATGGAGGACAGAACTACCGACAGGACACAGTGATGGAGGACAGAACTACCGACAGGACACAGTGATGGAGGACAGAACTACTGACAGGACACAGTGATGGAGGACAGAACTACTGACAGGATACAGTGATGGATGACAGAACTACCGACAGGATACAGCGATGGAGGACAGAACTACCGACAGGATACAGCGATGGAGGACAGAACTACCGACAGGACACAGTGATGGAGGACAGAACTACTGACAGGATACAGTGATGGAGGACAGAACTACTGACAGGACACAGCGATGGAGGACAGAACTACTGACAGGATACAGCGATGGATGACAGAACTACCGACAGGATACAGCGATGGAGGACAGAACTACCGACAGGATACAGTGATGGAGGACAGAACTACCGACAGGATACAGCGATGGACAGAACTACCGACAGGATACAGCGATGGAGGACAGAACTACCGACAGGATACAGTGATGGAGGACAGAACTACCGACAGGATACAGTGATGGACAGAACTACCGACAGGACACAGTGATGGAGGACAGAACTACCGACAGGATCCAGTGATGGAGGACAGAACTACTGACAGGATACAGTGATGGAGGACAGAACTACTGACAGGACACAGTGATGGAGGACAGAACTACCGACAGGACACAGTGATGGAGGACAGAACTACCGACAGGATCCAGTGATGGAGGACAGAACTACCGACAGGACACAGTGATGGAGGACAGAAGTACTGACAGGATACAGCGATGGAGGACAGAACTACCGACAGGATCCAGTGATGGAGGACAGAACTACCGACAGGACACAGTGATGGAGGACAGAACTACTGACAGGACATAGCGATGGAGGACAGAACTACCGACAGGACACAGCGATGGAGGACAGAACTACTGACAGGATACAGTGATGGAGGACAGAACTACTGACAGGACACAGTGATGGAGGACAGAACTACCGACAGGACACAGTGATGGAGGACAGAACTACCGACAGGACACAGCGATGGAGGACAGAACTACTGACAGGATACAGCGATGGAGGACAGAACTACCGACAGGATACAGTGATGGAGGACAGAACTACCGACAGGATACAGCGATGGACAGAACTACCGACAGGATACAGCGATGGAGGACAGAACTACCGACAGGATACAGTGATGGAGGACAGAACTACTGACAGGATACAGTGATGGACAGAACTACTGACAGGACACAGTGATGGAGGACAGAACTACCGTCTTACCGAATCCCCCCTCCATCTAACCGAATCCCCCCTCCATCTTCTGCCAGCCTGCCTCTATCTCCCCCTCCCTCCCGGTTCTGTGTTTCCGCAATTCGGCTCCAGCTTTGACGATAAGACACTGGCTGCCAGCATCTGAAGGGTAACATTCCCGCTCTTCATAGGCTGTCACTACCTCGGTCTCCGCACCTCATTGGCTGGCTGGGTCTCCTCTCCGCACCTCATTGGCTGGCTGGGTCTCCTCTCCGCACCTCATTGGCTGGCTGGGTCTCCTCTCCGCACCTCATTGGCTGGCTGGGTCTTCTCTCCGTACCTCATTGGCTGGCTGGTTCTTTTTTTCGAACCTCATTGGCTGGCTGGTACCGCTCTCCTTGTCATAGGCCGCGCGTGTTTGATGTAACACGTCACGTGACATTTTCCGTTGACTGAAAAATATGGCGGGAAAATAGAACTCTGGAAAAATTGAGGAGGAAATATTGAGGTGACAGAACTACTGACAGGACACAGTGATGGAGGACAGAACTACCGACAGGATACAGTGATGGAGGACAGAACTACCGACAGGATACAGTGATGGAGGACAGAACTACCGACAGGATACAGTGATGGACAGAACTACCGACAGGATACAGCGATGGAGGACAGAACTACTGACAGGATACAGCGATGGAGGACAGAACTACCGACAGGACACAGCGATGGACAGAACTACCGACAGGATACAGCGATGGAGGACAGAACTACTGACAGGATACAGTGATGGAGGACAGAACTACCGACAGGACACAGTGATGGAGGACAGAACTACCGACAGGACACAGTGATGGAGGACAGAACTACTGACAGGACACAGCGATGGAGGACAGAACTACTGACAGGATACAGTGATGGATGACAGAACTACCGACAGGATACAGCGATGGAGGACAGAACTACCGACAGGATACAGCGATGGAGGACAGAACTACCGACAGGATACAGTGATGGAGGACAGAACTACCGACAGGATACAGTGATGGACAGAACTACCGACAGGACACAGTGATGGAGGACAGAACTACCGACAGGATCCAGTGATGGAGGACAGAACTACTGACAGGATACAGTGATGGAGGACAGAACTACTGACAGGACACAGTGATGGAGGACAGAACTACCGACAGGACACAGTGATGGACAGAACTACTGACAGGATACAGTAATGGAGGACAGAACTACTGACAGGATACAGTAATGGAGGACAGAACTACTGACAGGATACAGTGATGGAGGACAGAACTACTGACAGGATACAGTGATGGAGGACAGAACTACTGACAGGACACAGTGATGGAGGACAGAACTACGACAGGACACAGTGATGGAGGACAGAACTACGACAGGACACAGTGATGGAGGACAGAACTACCGACAGGACACAGTGATGGAGGACAGAACTACCGACAGGACACAGTGATGGAGGACAGAACTACGACAGGACACAGTGATGGAGGACAGAACTACCGACAGGACACAGTGATGGAGGACAGAACTACCGACAGGACACAGTGATGGAGGACAGAACTACCGACAGGACACAGTGATGGAGGACAGAACTACCGACAGGACACAGTGATGGAGGACAGAACTACCGACAGGACACAGTGATGGAGGACAGAACTACCGACAGGACACAGTGATGGAGGACAGAACTACCGACAGGACACAGTGATGGAGGACAGAACTACCGACAGGACACAGTGATGGAGGACAGAACTACCGACAGGACACAGTGATGGAGGACAGAACTACCGACAGGACACAGTGATGGAGGACAGAACTACCGACAGGACACAGTGATGGAGGACAGAACTACCGACAGGACACAGTGATGGAGGACAGAACTACCGACAGGACACAGTGATGGAGGACAGAACTACCGACAGGACACAGTGATGGAGGACAGAACTACCGACAGGACACAGTGATGGAGGACAGAACTACCGACAGGACACAGTGATGGAGGATAGAACTACCGACAGGACACAGTGATGGAGGATAGAACTACCGACAGGACACAGTGCTGGAGGACAGAACTACTGACAGGACACAGAACTACTGACAGGATACAGTGATGGAGGACAGAACTACTGACCGGATACAGCGATGGAGGACAGAACTACCGACAGGACACAGTGATGGAGGACAGAACTACTGACAGGACACAGTGATGGACAGAACTACCGACAGGACACAGTGATGGAGGACAGAACTACCGACAGGACACAGTGATGGAGGATAGAACTACCGACAGGACACAGTGATGGAGGACAGAACTACTGACAGGACACAGAACTACTGACAGGATACAGTGATAGAGGACAGAACTACTGACAGGACACAGTGATGGAGGACAGAACTACTGACAGGACACAGAACTACTGACAGGATACAGTGATAGAGGACAGAACTACTGACAGGATACAGTGATGGAGGACAGAACTACTGACAGGACACAGTGATGGACAGAACTACCGACAGGACACAGTGATGGAGGACAGAACTACCGACAGGACACAGTGATGGAGGACAGAACTACCGACAGGACACAGTGATGGAGGACAGAACTACTGACAGGACACAGAACTACTGACAGGATACAGTGATAGAGGACAGAACTACTGACAGGATACAGTGATGGAGGACAGAACTACTGACCGGATACAGCGATGGAGGACAGAACTACCGACAGGACACAGTGATGGAGGACAGAACTACTGACAGGATACAGCGATGGAGGACAGAACTACCGACAGGATACAGTGATGGACAGAACTACCGACAGGATACAGTGATGGAGGACAGAACTACTGACAGGATACAGTGATGGAGGACAGAACAACCGACAGGACACAGTGATGGAGGACAGAACTACCGACAGGACACAGTGATTGAGGATAGGGTCGGTGACTGGAAACAGTGATGGAGAAAAGGGTCTGTGACGAGATGCATTGATGGAGGATAGGGTCAGTGAAGGGGATGGAGTATAGGGTCGATGATGGGATACAATGATGGAGGATAGGGTCCGTTACGGGATACAATGATGGAGGATAGGGTCGGTGACGGGATACAATGATGGAGCATAGGGTCAATGACGGGATACAATGATGGAGAATATGGTCTATGATGGGATACTATTATTGAGGCTAGGGATACAATGATGGAGGATAGGGTCGGTG